ATATATTGTAGCATGGGGGTCAGAAATGTGACTATAGCACTTACTAGAGGTTCAATAATGTGAAGCTCAACAGGGTACAAGCTGAATTATGGAAATTAAAAATGGAAGTGTGAAAACAGCATTTCATTAAATTCAAGATCACTTAATATGCTATTTAGGCTGCTCAGCAGCCAATAAAAACAGGACAGGGAGCAAAAATTCTATTTGCAGAGGGTGGCAATGAAACAAAAAATCCCTCTGGTCACGTCACTCTTAAATAAGGGCCATCATTTCAGAATCAGCATTGTTGGTACAGCAATCTTGCAAAAGTTTGGATGGCGTTAGAATCCTGTATTGCAGGATAACTGCCCATTGCCAGGAGTTCGATCCTCACTGGCTTAAGGTTGGTTGACTCAGCCTTCCATCCTTCCGAGGTTGGTAAAATGAGGACCCAGATCGTTGGGGGACAATAGGCTGACTCTGTAAGACCGCTTAGAGAGGGCTGTAAAGACTATATGAGTCTAAATGCTATTCATACACTGAACTTAGCCGTACTGTGTGTACATTTTAACTTGCTATGATATGGGAACAGGTTGGGCAAGTTTAATGAATATAATATAGTTAAATAACTGAGCATTTAGCACAGGGGTGTCAAATTCAATTTCATCGAGGGCCACATCAGGGTTGTGTTTGACTTCAGAGGACCCGGGAGGGCGTGGCTGGGGAGGGCGTGGCCAGCTCGACATCACTCGTTGAGGCTCCGTTTTTGGCCCCGATGGCCTCCTGCAGCGCTCTGCCAGCGAAAACAGAGCTCGGGGAGGCTGTTGCAACCGAAAACGGAGCCAGGGAGGCCCACGTACAGCCCTCCCAACCAGGGTGGATTTGATTTAAATCGAGTTGATTTAAATCACAATTTAAATCATGATTTAAATCACTAGTAAAAAGGCTTGATTTAAATCAACTCGATTTAAATCATATTTTTTAAAGAGCAACTGTCATCTCTGCTACTCCTTTGACCCACTGTTGACTCACCGATGGTCCCAGTGTTGCAGAATATACAGCCTCATGCTACATAACTAAGCTCCATTTCATGCTGAATAAACTAAATTATTTATGTATCTTAAATAGAAAACTATCTTAAGATAGATTTTTACCCCAAAAGTTTTTTATTAAAATAAATTCGATGAAAATCAAAAAAATCTGATTTAAATCAAAAAAATCTGATTTTTAAATTTTTTTTTAAAAAATCATTGATTTTTATCCACCCTGCTCCCAACCTCTCTTTTCACTGGCAGAGGCACTGCGAGCCAATCCTTCACTTTTTCCACGGTGGGCCTACAGGCCAGATCTAAGCACACCGCAGGCCAGATGTGGTGCACGGGCGTTGAGTTTGACACCCCTGATTTAGCACATGGTGTACATCTTACTGCAGATAATCCTCAACTTACAACCATTCATTTAGTGACCGTTCAAAGTTACAACGGCACTGAAAAAAGTGACTTATGACCATTTTTCACACTTACGATGTTTGCAGCATCCCCATGGTTATACGATCAGAGTTCGGGTGCCTGGCAACTGGTTCATATTTATGACGGTTACAGTGTCTTGGAAGTAAAAACCAGCTTCTGGGGAAAAACATTGTCAGTTGTGGTCATGTGACTGTGGGCCATTACAATGTCTGTGAGTGAGCCAGTTGCTGAGCAGCCAAAAAATGCAGTCACATGACCTTGGGGTGGTAAGAGATGGCCACCATAGCTTCAGAACCAGGTCGTAAGTATTTTCTGGAGGATTCATTGTAACTTTGAACAGTCACTAAATGGCCAGTCATAGGTCAAGGACTATATGTACCAGATTGGAGAAAAACCAGGGGAAATCCCCACTTAGCCAAGATGGTGGCTAAGGAACACCGGCCAAATGAGCCTAGAATATCCATGCTGAGCCTAGCCTACCTCGCAGGTTTGATGCGAAGTAAACAAGCAGATGACTTTCTGACTTGTGGTTCAAATGCTTAGAAAGAAGACAGGATGAAAACTCAATTACTTTCTTATTGTCGACATAAAAGCAGAATTTCCAACTAATGTCACTGCATTCAGGCCATAAAAGTGCAATCTGTATTGCCATTACCAGGAAAATGCAAATGCAAAGAAACCATTTCTGCTATCTCAATATTTCCAATAAACTCGATTTTCCTCAGCATTTAAATATCTGTCTTTTCCCTTACTCATATTCCTTAGGCTAGAATCCTGTTTCTTTGCAAAGAAAGCTGTTGCTCCCCTCAAGATTTACAAAAGTTCGCTCCCCAGAGTCATCCCTGATTCTCCATTTCTGGGAACCAATCTTAGATCACTGCAAGTCCACGTAAGCCTTAATTGGACTGCACACCTTTGAATAAATTTGGCAAATACCATAAAGTTCAACTTTCACCAGCATTCCCGAGTTTGGTGGTGCCCTCCGGAGGCCCTGACCTACAAATTCCACAGTCCCCAATCCATTCAGCATGTGTGAATTGGGACTGAAGGAAGCCGAACTCCATGGTTGGGGATACTGGAAAAGCGCCAAGGAGCAACAATCGCTATCCCAAAGGTGCTTTTTCAGGAGGCAACTGGACTTTCTTGTTTTTTCTTTGAAGATGTTTCGCTTCTCATCCAAGAAGCTTCTTCAGTTCTAACTGGATAGTGGAAAATTGAAGGATTTATACTCCTTGCAGACAGCTGGTCATTTGCATCGTTTTAGAGAGTCGTTGAGGCCACTTGGAGGTTTATCTGTGTCCTCAGGGTCACCTGAGTGGTGCTCCTGGTTCTTGTAGTCTGCAATTTTTCCTCTGGAAATCCATTCCTACTCCCACACCATCAGGGGCGGGTTTCAAAACCCATCGCTACTGGTTTGCTCATGGGCGCGTGCGTGCTCACTCGCGCATGCGCAAAAGCGTCCAGGCGGGTGCCGCCACCGCTACTGGTTCAACCCGGATAGCAACCCACCACTGCACACCATTCAAAGGGTGTTCATCCCAAATCATATAGTTAAATCCTTCCATTCCCCACTATCCTGTCAGAGCTGAAGAAGCTTCTTGGATGAGAAGTGAAATGTCTTCAAAGAAAAAACAAGAAAGTCCAATTGCCTCCTGAAAAAGACAACCATGTCCTCCTTTGGACAACCATGACCTGGATGAATCTCTACAGACAACAATCGCTGTGCTTTTACTATTCAATTCAATTCAGAATAGAGCTGGGTAGGGACCTTGGAGGTCTTGTAGTCCAACCCCCTGCCCAAGCAAGACACCCTATACCAGGGGTGGGCAAATGTGGCCCTTTTACAACCTGTGGACTTCAACTCCTGGAATCCCTGAGACAGCTTGGCTATCTCAGGAATTCCGGGAGTTGAAGTCCACAGGTTGTAAAAGGGCCACATTTGCCCACCCCTGCCTGCCCTATACCATTTCAGACAAGTGGCTGTCCAGCCTCTAGTTAAAAACCTCCTCCAGTGATGAAGCACCCACTACATCTAGTATAATCTATGCTTGAAGTCTACAACGATGTATTGTTTGAAGCAAAGATCCCTAAAACATGGACAGAAGCCATTATAACATTGATACCGAAAGAACACTCTGATTTATTACAAATAAAAAACTATAGACTGATATCATCGTTAAATGTAGATTACAACATCCATGCCTCAATAATTGCAGAAAAGATTTTTATAACAATTTGTAACAGTAACAGAGTTGGAAGGGACCTGGAGGTCATCTAGTCCAACCCCCGGCTCACGCAGGAGACCTATACCAGGGATTCAAACCACCGATCCACAAGCTCAACGTCTTAGCCGCTGAGCCACGAACCATAGGTGTAAATGAATGACTTCATACACACATACACCCACAACCTCTGAAGGCAAACTGTTCCACTGATTAACTGTCCTCACAGTTAGGAAGTTTCTCCTTAATCTTCCAGGTTGCTTCTCTCCTTGATTAGTTTCCATCCGTTGTTTCTTGTCCTATCGTCGGGTGGTTTGGAAAATAAGTTGACTCCCCCTCTTTCTCTGTGTGTAGTACAACACATCTTTAGCGTGTAGTAGAAGACACCGCCGCCCCCCCCCCGTCTTTCTACTACAGGCTAAGCAGCCACCAACTCCAGCCACGTTTCACCCATCCTGTTTTACGCATTCGGCCCCGACAGCGCGCCTTTGATTTATGACTCCGTGCGTCATGGGAACGCCGGGAACACGGATTGACACAAACACACACACACAAACATACACGGTCCCGCAAAGCGTGACCTGCATCTTCTTTCCCCCCCCCCTCCCACCCCCCAATTCGAGAGGGGGGATTCCCAACTCTTTGTGGAGCAGGCGAGTAGAAGAGAAACCCCGGGAGCGCGAAAAGGGAAACGGGGCAGCAGTCGGGCAACGCCAGGAAGTTTCAAGCGGCCCAAAAACTCCTGCGGAGCCGCCGGAGCCTCGTTCCGTCCCGCCCTCAACTCTCTTCCCGGAGAGACGCCGGACCCCTTCTGTCCTTTCTGGGCATTCGTTCCCCCTGGCCGCCCTTTTTTGGGAAGGCGCGCCAGCCTCCTCCTCCTCTCCTCTTCCTCCTCCTCCTGCAAGCGCGGACCGCTCCGGAAAGTTCCGCTCGGGCTCCTTCTCCGCCCGCTTGCAGAGGCCTTCGTCCCGCGGCCGGCTTCTCTCCGCCCCGCTCGCCCTCTCCTCCTCCCAAGGGGCGCCTTTGCTTTCCTTTTTCTGAGGAAACGTGGCGTGGTGGGGAACAGCCGCGGTGGCGGCTCCCGCGCGCAACGCGCCCGGCTTTAGGCGCGCCTTGCCCAGCCCAAACTTCTCCTCAGCCCGCCGAGCTGCCTGCCTGCCTCCTCTACCACCACCCCGGCCCGTTTCCAGGCGCAACTCCGAGCCGGGAATAAGTCCCAACCGGGCGCGCCCACCCCAGCGAGACTTTCGCAGGCGGCACAGCGCTATAATCACCCACCCACCCAAACCCGACGCTGCCCATCTCGCCCGCCTGCCCCGCAGGAACTCACCGGCGCGCACGTGCTGGCGCTTCCCGGCCGCTGCCCGCCAGGCTTCGCCTTCGCCCGGGAGGGACGTGGCAGAAACGAGCGGCTGCGACCGCGGCTCCTCCTCCCCAAGCCCAGCTGCGAAACGCGGGAGACGCCTCCCGGCTCGGCTCTAAGCCGCAGGCGGGACGCCCTCTGCCGAGCGAGGGCCGCCTGAGCCGGCTACCCCAGCGAGGACGGCCGCCTTGGGCTTGGATGGCCGGCCTTGGTTGGCTTTCCTGTGGTTCCACCCGCGGCGCGGCATCCTTTTCCGCCGCCTCCTTTTGTGTGTGTTTGTGTGTGTGTATTTTTCTCCTGAGAAAGGTTTGGGTTTCTTTTCAAAGGCCCTGTCGGGACGAGCCCGAGGGACGCGCGCGCACGCTGGTTGGGTTCCGACGACACGCTTAACCCGGGTCAACAGCAAAACAAAACAAAACAACAACGAAAAAAAGGCTGCCTGGTCTCGCCACCTCCAAAACGAGTATTCTCGTGCTGAGTTCGCCTCGTTTGGCGTATAGGGGCAAGTCCAACCTGGGAGTGAACGCTACAGACTGGGATTTACACCTTGTTGGGTTGCCAGATGCTCGTAAATGGGGTCTCAATGTTTATTAGGATTAATGTTGTAATGGCAGCTCTTTGCTTCTGTTAGCAGCCCTGATGGTCCCGCTGGAATAGGAAAGTGAGGTATTAAATGAATGGCGAAAAGTGGGAGAGGGGTGGGGGGAGCCCAGTCTGCCTCTCTCATCCATTGTGTTAGTGTGTTCTTTTCCTCTGACTTTTAACAGTTCAGAATAAAATATACTAGTTGTTGTTAGTTGCAAAGTCATGTCCCACCCATCACTACCCCATGGACAATGTTCCTCCAGGCCTTCCTGTCCTCTACCATCCTCTGGAGTCCATTTAAGCTCACGCCAACTGCTTCAGTGACTCTATCCAACCACCTCGTTCTCTGCCGTCCCCTTCTTCTTTTGCCCTCAATCTTTCCCAGCATTAGGCTCTTCTCCAGTGAGTCCTTCCTTCTCATTAGATGGCTAAAATATTTGAGTTTCATCTTCAGGATCTGGCCTTCGAAAGAGCAGTCAGGGTTGGTCTCTAGGACTGACTTGTTTCTTCACCTTGCAGTCCAAGGAACTCGCAGGAGTCTTCTCCAGCACCATAGTTCAAAGGCCTCAATTCTTTGGCGCTTAGCGGTCCAACTTTCACAGCCATACATTGCAACTGGGAAAATTCCATGGACAGTACCAAAATACACCTGAGGACCTGCAAAAAAAAAACAAACAAACCATTGCGGGAGACCTAGTTCAGACAGCACACTGCATTAAAACATTAAAAACACCCGCATTAAAACTAACCTGATGAGTGGACCTATTGCTTTATACCAGGTAGTCAACGTACGACTACAATTGAGCCCAACATGCTAAGAGAAACATTTGTTAAGTGAGTTTTGACCCGTTTTGTGACTTTTCTTGCCATTGTTGTTAAGTGAATCACTGCGGTTGGTAAATTAGTAACACAGTGGTTAAGTGAAACTTGATTCTCCCATTGACTTCGCTTGTCAGAAGGTGATCGCATGACCCCTTGGACACTGCAGTTGTTATAAAGATGAGTCAGTTGCCAACGCTCGTAAGTATGGAAATCGGTCGTAAGTCACTTTTTTCAGTGGTCACTAAATGAACTTCTTGTAAGTTGATAATTACCTGTATAGGAAGTTTGTGGTCCCATTGCCATCAACCAGTGAGGGCCCAATCCTAGAAGGAATCTGCAAGGAAAAGAGGAGGGAATGAAGAGGCTGTTTGAAAAAGGCAACACTCCGTCCCATTGGATTATCTTCAGAGGAGGGGTAAAGGTAACGGTAAAGGTTCCCCTCACACATAGGTGCTAGTCATTCCTGACTCTAGGGGTGGTGCTCATCTCCATTTGAAAGTCGAAGAGCCAGCGCTGTCTGAAGACGTCTCCGTGGTCATGTGGCCGGCATGACTAAATGCCAAAGGCGCACAGAACGCTGTTACCTTCCCACCAAAGATGGTCCCTATTTTTCTACTTGCATTTTTTACGTGCTTTCGAACTGCTCCGTTGGCAGAAGCTGGGACAAGTAACAGGAGCTCACACCATTATGCGGTGCTAGGGATTCGAACCGCTGAACTGCCAACCTTTTGATCGACAAGCTCAGCATCTGAGCCACTGAGCCACTGCGTCCCTACAGAGTAGGTACAGAGTGCATATTTCCCTTTAAATTTAATGCATCTTCTGCAAAGCTCGGGGTTTCTCTGAGCCTCTTGTTATCTTTCTCATGTGGGATAGTTCCATTCTGTTGCATTCTGACAGCAGTCAGGCCTGAATTGGAAATTGATGAAATGTTCTTTTATTTTTTTAAAAAACAAATCGCACAAAATTTCAATATGTGGGAAAAAATGGCCACTCCATAGCAGTGGTGCAGCTAAAACCACTTTTATTTATATAGAGTTATTTCTCCAATAATAAAATAAGAGCTGATGGTCTTTTGGGAAGTTTTTAAAGTCTTCTCTGTTTGTTTACAAAATGTATACAGATAGTCCTCAACTTACGAGCACAAAATGAACCTAAAATTTATATTGCCAAGTGAGAAATTTGTTAAGTGAATTTTGCCCCGTTTTAAAACTTTTTTTGCCACATTTGTTAAATGAATCATGCTTGTTAAGTGAGTAACACGGTTATTAAATGAATCTGGTTTCCCCATTGACTTGGCTTGTCAGAAGGTCGCAAAAGGGAATCAGATGACCCCAGGACACTGCAATGGTCATAAATGTGAAAAATTGTCCTAAGTCACTTTTTTCAGTGCTGCTGTAACTTTGAATGGTCACTAAGTGAACTGTTGTAAGTCAAGGACTATCTGTACAATAAACTTTCAGTTTTGTGCATCAGTTAGCAGTCTCTACAAGGACAGCCTTACCATCAAAATTTTGTTCAGAAGTATGAGTCAATGAGGGAATCAATTTTCAGAAAACTAGAGGAGGGTTAAAACATTTTCCATCCTATATAGCCATGATGGCGAACCTATGGCATGCGTGCCACAGGTGGCACGCAGAGCCATATCTGTGGGCACGCCAGCGTTGCCCTAGCTCAGCTCCAGCGCGCATGCCCATGCTGGCCAGTTGATTTTCGGGCTTTCCGGGCCCATTGGAAGTTGGAAAACGGGCCGTTTCTGGCCCCCAGAGGGCCTCCGGGAGTGTGGGGAAGGCCATTTTTGCCCTCCCCAGGCACCTAGAAAGGCTCTGGAGCCTGGGAAGGCAAAAAATGGGCCTACCGTGCCATCGCATGCCAAAAGCAGGGGGAGCACGGGGGAAGTGTCGTGTGCACATGCGCGGGGGTGCGGGGCGCATTGAATTATGTGTGTGGGCACGCATACACACAACCCTCTGCACTTCCCCCCACTTTTGGCACATGATGGCAAAAAGGTTAGCCATCACTGCTATATAGTCTCAGTCAGAATGAAGATACTTGATAGTCCTTAAAATACAATTTAAGAGGATATGCTGTACTCTTAATATTAGCGTAATAGATATGGTTTACCGTAAGAAAAAATTCATTATACCACTGGGTTGGATTCAGATTTAGAGAAACATAGGTGGGGATTCGATAACACATTTGAATCAATGGGACATTACACTTGTAATGTGCCATCGAATGGGGCAGGAGAGATTTTGAGTTTTAACACAAAACTGCCCTCATCCTCAGTCAGCCACAAAAGGCTACATTCAAATTATCATATTTTAGACATTTTGTGCAAAGATTAAGATCTTTGGAGAAATCCAGGTATAATGCTGGGGAAAATGGAAGGAAAGAATAAGAGATGAACAGCATCAAGTCGGATGGATTCAGTTACAAGAGCACTGGAAGAATGGAATGGAATGGAATAGAATGGAATGGAATAACTTTATTGTACACTAATTGGCATACATTAAAATGAAATTTTGTTGCATTAAAGCTCTCAAAGGGTCACCACCTCCAATATACACTACATAACCATGACAAATAAATAAATACAAAATTATGCATGTACACACATATATGACACGGAGAAACAACAGAGTCTAGTTTTCATGGCGAGAAAAACGAATCTTGCAAGTTTACCAGATGGATGGCATAGGGAACAAAGCTGTTACAGAATCGGGTAGTCCTGCTAGAAATACTTCAAAACCTCCTCCCAGAGTGGAGAAACAGAAACAGACCTTAAAGTGGGTGTGTGGGGTCTCTAACAATGGTTCATGCTCTAAGCACATAAGCAGTATCCTGAATAATAGGAAGCAAGCTTCCTATAATCTCTGGTGTCCTCACCACTCTCTGAATGGACTTTCTATCTGAGGCACTGCTGCCACCAAACTGAGTGTGAGTGCCCTGCAGAAGGACAACCTATATGAATACTAAGTATCCCCATTCTTGATGGCACATAGGGGCCAATGTTTATCTCCATTTCTTAGCTGAGAGAGAGTATTATCCAAAGACACTTCCATGGTCATGTGGCCAGCATGATTTATACGCCAAGGTGCACAGAACACTTGTTACTTTCCCACCAAAGTGGTACCTATTTATCTACTTGCATTTGCATGCTTTCAAACTGCTAGGTGGGCAGGAGCCAGGGTGACGATGGGAGTTCACTCATCACATGGCATTTGGGTCTCAAATCTGGGCTGCCAGCTTTCCAGTTGACAAACTTAGAATCTTTAACCACTGAGCCATCACATCCCTTTGATGGCACATAATCATTATTCGGGCATTTTAGGCAAACACCTTAACACAATCACAAGTGAGGTCCAAGGTTTTACTAACTCACAGCTCCAGGAAAAAAAGGTTGGAGATAGAGATTAAATAAATTAGGAAATAATGTAGAGCAATATTTCTTACTCTCAGCAACGTTAAGGTAGGTGGACTTCAACTCCCAGAATTCCCCAGCCAGCATGAGATGTTCAATCATACAATCATACAAGTGAGTGGTGGGTTTCAAAACTTTTTACTACCGGTTCTGTGGGTGTGGCTTGGTGGGCATGGCAGGGGAAGGATACTGCAAAATCCCTATTTCCTCCCATATCAGCTGGGATTTGGGAGGCAGA